CAGTGATAGTGAAGAGAAAGATAAACAGCTGGGACTACATCAAATTAAAGAGCTTCTGCACAGCAAAAGAGACAATAACAAAAACAAAGAGAAACCCCACCAACTGGGAGAACATTTTTGCACCCAACACTAATGATAAAGGACTGATCACAAAAATCTGCAAAGAGCTGATGAGACTCAGCAACAACAAAGAAAATAATCCAGTCAAAAAATGGGCAGAAGAGCTAAAAAGAAACTTCTCTGAAGAGGAAATGCAAATGGCCAACAGACATATGAAAAAATGTTCAACATCACTTGTAATCAGGGAAATGCAAATCAAAACTACCATGAGATACCATCTCACACCAGTGAGAATGGCACATATTAAAAAAAACTAGCAACAACAAATGTTGGCGAGGATGTGGAGAAAAAGGAACTCTTGTGCACTGTTGGTGGGAGTGCAAACTGGTCCAACCACTATGGAGAGCTGTGTGGAGATTTCTGGACCTACTAAACATAGAGCTTCCATATGATCCAGCAATTCCACTCCTAGGTATTTACCCAAAGGACACAGAAACATCAATTCCAAAGAGCACCTGCACTCCTATGTTTATAGCAGCACTGTTTACAATAGCTAAGCTTTGGAAACAACCCAAATGCCCAAAAATAGATGACTGGATCAAGAAGATGTGGTACATATATACCATGGAATATTACTCAGCATTCAAAAAAGATAAACACATGCAATTTGCAGCAACATGGATGGCACTGGAAGGGATCATGCTCAGCGAAATAAGCCAAAAAGAAAAAGAAAAATACCGGATGGTCTCACTCATAGCAGGAATCTAGAAAACTTAAATAAGGGACCAGGAAAATGAATATAAGAAAGTGAAAATCAAAATCAACAAAAAAACTATGAACCAGAGACACTTTTGGGGGGTGGGGGGGCGGGAGGGGAAGGATTGGGGTCAGAATGGGGCGTTTGCAATTGTATGGGGGAATATAAAAATAAAATTTAATATTTAAAAAAAAAAAAAAAAAAATAAAACTCCTTTTTATAAATTAAAAATATATACCCCATTAAGCTTACAAAGTATGAGACTATGAATGCCTTTAGGTCTATAGATTTCTTTTATTCACCTTTGCAACCTTTCATTGTTAAAAGAGAATATATGAAATACGTTTATTGTATACTGTACTATCTGGAATATTTGAACAAAGCTTCATAAACAAGGTCAGACTTGAGCAAGAGCTTAAAAGGGGCATACTTGGCTCACCAAGTAGAAAAGAGGCAAAAGGGTGTGCTGGGTAAAAGGAATAGGACCAATGAGGCACAGAGATTTTTTAAAGAGTAGCAAATCCGGGGACTGTAATTGACCTTTGGTGGCTGCCTGTTAAGGTAACTGTGGAAGAATGTAGGTGGGCAGAGAAGTAGCAGTAGGTGGGCAGAGAAGAAGCAGCGAGCTCATGAAAAGCCTGTAACTATGAACTGTCTGCATATTCTGCATATAAAGTATTTCATCTTGGAAGAAAAAGGAAGAAAACAAGGGTTCAACTTTATATGTATGTGAGAAAAGTTGTTGTTGGTTTTTAACAGTACACTGGTTTATCATTCTGTGTTGCCAAAAGAGAAAAATTATATTCAAAATATAAAAATACATATAAAGATGTAAAATATTCTTAATAAAGACATTAAGTATATTTTTATTTCAGATCTCAGCAAAGGAAATTTTTATTTTTTTAAACATTTATTTATTTATTTATTTATTTATTTATGCAAGCACTGGGTACAGTCAGAAGCGCGGGAGGGTGAGAGAATTCACCAGAGCCAGAGCGGGGAACAGAACAGGCAGACTGACGAAACACACTGCTGAGGGGAGCAGCGGGCGGCAGGAGAGGTCTGCGCGCCATGTGGGACCCTCACCCGGCGGCCGGGATTGAACCGGCGCTGGCGACCGGTTCGCAACCCAGTGGTTCGCAACCCAGTGGTTCGCAACCCAGTGCTCAACTGCTGCATCACCAGGGAGGCCCTCAGCAAAGGAAATTTTTGATGATTAACCTAACCATGGAAATGTCCTGATTCCTAATATTTGTTGTTGAATTGTGTCTCCTTAAGAGAGAAAAGCATGGAGGCTGATTAAAAATCCTGTTCTTTTGAATGGATCTAAAGAGAGAAAACCAGTAAGAGTAGACCAACCAGGATGAGTGAGTCCCAGGAGAATCAGAACCATTTCAGAGCCCCTGAGAGCCAAGCAAGGATTAGAGATGAAGGACTGATACTGGGTGTTTGGCTTTTTATATGTACCCTATTATGATGAATCACTGACTACAATTGCTATTCCACATCTGAAATTTTTCATCTAAACAGGACCTCAGGGTGGTCCTGAAAGCACCACTAGGCCACATCCCAAAGAGACAAAACATTATACCTGCTGCGAAGGAAATGCCTCCTCCAGAGATGACACTTGGCCCACCTATGACCACACCCTCCCCAAAGAGCAGCAAAAGGAAAATTGAAAGGGCAGAAATCAAAGCTGGTTGTTGGCCTTGTTTCTTTATTTTCTCTAAGTAGCCTGATAAATATATTTTACTTTGCTTCTTAAAGTTTCAGAAATGAAAAGGATACAATCTGATAGAATCATGATGTTGGATAAGGGATGATTTTTCTTTTTATTATTCATCCCGTTCAATTCCTCTAGCTAATACTGAGGAACCATCTGCGTCAGCTTGCTAACGAGTTTGGTCATGGTTCTCTGGGCAATAGGAAGCCACTGAAGTTGTTAAGCAGGGGAGTTATATAATCATATTTGCAATTTAGAGAGGGCATTCTGGCAGAAGCAGGGATTGGAGAAAGTAGACACTGTGAGGAAAGAGATCCACTTGAGGCCAATAGTCTGACTGATGATAAAACTCTGGCCTGCTGCAGTGACCATGGACATGGAGGCTAAAGAAAATGGTAGAGTTTGGGAAGGAAAAAGCTTGGATATGGTGCCATGGTTTCAGGCCTAATAATGGGAAGGGAACATTTATCAATTTATTAGGAAAGCTAACTAATCTCATAATGTAATCTATAATACTAGTAATAATGGGATTTGTGAATCAAGGAGTACAGCATGTTCACAGTGTGTGTGTGTGTGTGTGTGTGCGTGTGTGTGTGTGTGTGTGTATATATATATATATATATTTATATTCACAAAGCAAATCCCAGTAAAATTATATCAATTACCTTTTTTGTGAATGGCATTTAAGAGGTAGCACATCACAATGACTCCTGACACTGGAGCCAATAAGAGTTCAAACTCTAGTTTTACCACCTAATAAACATGTAGTTTTGGATGAGTTACTTGACAACTCTGTTCCCGTTTCCTCATCTCTTAAATAAGGATACTAATGGAACCCAAGTAAGTATTATGAGGTTTAAATGAGTTGTTAAGAGTAAAAGATTTAAAATGGTCAGTGTACTTCCTTAAGCTCAGAACATGGCTTATTTAATAAATAGTCACTATTTAAATTATTTTCAATCTCTTTTACCAAACATTAAGAAAGAGATAGAAAGTTCACTTTCCACAAAGAGGAACCTCAGTTTACTTTTCTTCCTGCAGTCAACATTAAATTTTTCTGACATTTCAGCGGAAAGAAACGGAAAAAGCTCAACAAAACAAACTTTTTTTCCTGAGAAAGCTCATAAGAGAAAGGTGAAATTCCCAGAAAGGGGTGCTCCGAGGCTTAGGCTTTTGAAGACCACAGAGCTTACTTATAAATAGAATATTAAAACCAGCAAGAGCAATTTTCTCCTTTCGTCTTTCCCTTATTGCCTAATTTTCCTCTGGTACATTTGCATAATGGATAAAAAGGCATCCATTATGCAAATGAATAATAGGGTTGTGAGGTTGCTGTGGCCACAAACCTCACTCCCGGTGAAGAGAAGCTGCCTAGGCACCCCCCAAGCCCTATTCCAGCAGACTGCCTTACCAGCTTGGCTTCCCAGATACAGAGGAAAACCAGAAGATCACAGGTCATTAACTTCCACTGGGTTCATTTTAAAAGGACACCTAAAGATGCTTTCCAGAAAATTAGCACAAAACATGGATATCCAGTAGTGTGTATGTAAAATATGCTTTATGCAAAATAAACTTTACAGTTCTCAATGGGGGAAAGATACTATGTACAATTTTTATGATTCTAAATATATGCTTGCTTTAAAGAAAGTAAGATTTCCCCTTGCACAGTGGGAAACACCTGCTCTAGCTTGAGAATTTACCTATACAAAACGCTTAGAGCAGTCTCAAAAATGTATATATACATTCGATAGGAGAAAAAATGCAACCACCAAAATATTAGTGGATTTTCAAAAGTTTCATGCTGTTAAACTGACCAAAATTTATCTCTAAGAGGTATCACCAAAAACTGACATATTATTTCTCTTCGAGTTGTTAGTTGCTAATTCACTAAAATTTTAAAAGAATGTTTACTTTTTCTTTTTACCAACACTTCAACACAAATACAATGAGAAATAATTCTGAGCAAAATCACTGAGTGAGCTGCTCTTGTTTGAATAAAACAGTAAGAGAAAATTATAAAAGTATTTCAAAATGTCTTCCTCAAACTCTGAGATATATAGCTTCAGGAGGAAATGAAGTTACCTAAAACAGAAAGTGACCTTTATTATGAGTCTGCATTCCTTGATAACCCTTAGCTTTCTCCAAATGACTTTTTTCCATGCGCTTTTATTAAAATGATGTTCACAGGCTACAGAGGAACCTGATCATTTGACAGTTCAACTCCTCCTCTATGATGCTGCAAGAGCATGTAATTCAGAATCACCTGAATTCAAGAAAACAAATGCATCCACTTGCCATGGGATTATCAGTTAAAAAGAGCAATGTAAAAAAAAATAATTTTGAGAAAAGAGAAACTGATTTTCTTTAAAGATACTAGCAAGATAAGTTCATAGAGTAGAAGCAATTCACAGATACTGTATTTCAACCAGATGAAAAGCATACCACTAAAAATGCACATACCTAATTTCAGAGCAGAAGGAGTTACTTCGATTTCCCCACCGATTGGTTTAAACACAGCCAGTTGGGCGGCCACTTCTGTCTCAAAGGCATCTGGGCTCTGCCGACCTGAAGGGTTTCCATTGGGGCTCTCAATCTTGTGTAGAGGTTCTTGTTCTTCAAACACAGCAATAAGCTACAAACAGATTCAACAACACGAATTACTTTGGAGAATGCACACAATACCAGGACTGTATCAAAATAATGGTGTTCTTTATTTAGTTTTAACAGAAATGACTTTTGAAAACTTTAAAGTCACTATACCACAGCTGTTAATTCAACATTATGTCTAGAAGCACCAATAATTAATGGTTTTTGTTGTTCGTCTATTCCTGAAATGGAGAACCAATGTGGCAAACTCACTTGAAGGAATGAAATAGCTGCCTTCTCCCCTCACAACATTTTCTAATGTTCTGAAAAGGATGTTAGTATCTTTCTCTTTTAAGACAGCTCTCCAAAATAAAAATTGTATATGTGGAAATGAAACAACAGACTCAGATGGTAGAAGAGGACATGCTAGTCTCAGCTGAGGATATTATAGCTCCTTAATTATTGCTCTCCTTTTACACAATCATAGTCAGCCAAACAAATACATCTTTAAATTTACACACAATTTGTGTTTATCTTTCACACAGATATCCCATTTTTTTATACCCACTTTAACATGTTCTTTTTCTACGGTGTTCATGAATGACTACGTTGACTAGTTTGAGTCCAATGTATGCAAATACAATGAGATGAAACATTAGCAGTCTAACCTAATTATTTCCATCTTCATCTCAATTTTACATTATATGAGAACACTTCTTGTCATTAATATAAATACTTAATTGCCCATTTCTAAATATTTTTTTCATAAAATGAGGGCAAACAATAAAATATTTATGCTCTGTGCAAACACTGATGTGTAAACAGTAGCAGCAACCCTCCAGAAACTGCATTTTGGCCATGAGACAGCAGCACCACTGAGGAACTCCAAAGGTTTCTATCACCCAATGTGTAATAGTTCAAATGAGAATGCAGGAGGCAGCTCAGAAATGCAACTGTCAACCTACTAAAATGGAACATGTGCAAATTTGAAAACTGCTAGTAAATCTTTATTTTCCATTCATTAAATAAAACAAACCTATTTATGATTCAAACATTTATTCAGGAAAGGCACTCAAAGTTCCAATCACAAGGGAACCTTGTTGGCAATAGTATTAATAACACTAGTGGAGGAGTAACCAATAAAAACATCATAAATTTCAAGTTTAGCCTTTCAAAAGAAATGAATACAATTAAGGATATGCAAATTGGCTATTCAAAAATAATTTTCATAATTGACTACTCATTTTCAGTATGGAGACTTCTTTAATTGGAAAATCCAACAATCCTCTCACCACAGGAAAGAAATGCTACTCCCAAGGCATTATTTTTAATTCTTGAAATTGAGCACATACATTTTCTATTTTTAATTGGTAGCACTGATGAACTGATTTGAGATAAGACTTAAATAGATTAATAATGAAAGATTATTCTAGTATAAAATAATCAGTAGACCTATATCCTTCTAATCATCTGACCAAAATGAAGTTAACACTTTAAATACTGAAAAAAAATTAAATCAATTTTTAAAATGTGGTATTATTTTCTTCATGAGTTGATGACATAACTATGTCAATCTTGCATACTGGTGAATTATAACACATTTACTAACATTTATTTCAATGTACTAATCTACTAGAAAAAAGGCTTATTATACTGTTATTAAGAACAATTTTGTGTAAGTTAAGGATAATGCCTTCTTTTCTTTCTACATCCTTAACTTTTAGTTACTTTAGCATATGCATGAAATGAGTTGGGGAAAAGAGAAAAAACAGAATATTAATCACAAGTCTAAACAAAAATTAAAATCGATAACCCATTGATGGCTATTATATAACCTTTGCTTAGGATACTTCAGAGTTTTCCATACTACTAAATTCACCCTTTGCAGATAATGGCAATACAGGATTCTTCTCCAAGATGTTGTTAGTGAGTCCGAGAGGTCTCTCAAATCTCAAACTCTTTGATTAATGAATTTCTTCGTCTGTCTCCCAAGCCCAACATTGACAGAAATTGTCTCAGCAGATTTTATACTGCTGAATGTCTAGATGGTTGATATATAGTCTCTAATCCTGGAAGGAAGAGAACTGGTTCCTAACTCTGTATTAAGCAAATAAATTCTACATCCATCCTTCATCTCAACATCTACATTATACACAGACTTACACATGTTTTAACATAGATAATTAATTTAAATCATGTTGGAGGTCCTTGTTATCAAGATTACCTGATTCATTATTGGTTACAGAGTTCATGGAAGACAGCATTACAGAAATTTATTAATTAACCACTGCTCTAGTATCTAAACAGAAGGCACAATGATTTTCAAGGTGTCCAGCATATACAAATGATCTCCACTCACTGCCTTTACACCCATTAAAAATTATCATTCCCCTCAGAAAAAAAGTAGTGAATCCACTTAAAAGAAAATGGGCAGAAGAGCTAAATAGACTTCTCCAAAGAAGACATAGAGATGGCTAACAGATGCATGAAAGAACTCTCACCATCACTTACTCTCAGAGAAATGCAAATCGAAACCACAAGAAGATACCACCTCACTTATATGAGAATGCCCCATACTAATAAAACCAGAAATAACAAGTGTTAGGAAGGGTGTGGGAAAAGATCATTTGTACACTATATGGGGGAATGCAGACAGATTCAATCCCTATGGAAAACAAAATGGAAATTTCTCAAAGCATTAAAAATCAACCTACCATATAATCCTGCAAGTTCATTCCTAGAGATATCAACCCAACAAATACAAAAACACTCATTTAAAGGACACATGCACTCCTATGTTCATTGCAATACTATTTACAATAGCCAATTTATAGATACAACCTAAGTGCCCAAGGACAGTTGAATGGATGAATTAGGTGTGGTACGTATACACAATGGAACACTACTCAGCTGTAAGAATGATGAACTCTTTCCATTTGCAATCACATGAATGGAACTGGAAGATTAGACACTAAACAAAATAAGTCACAAGGAGAAAGCCAAATGATGGATGATTTCACTTATATGTGTGCATTCTAGAAGGAAAAAAAAAACAAAGGAACACACAAAAATAAACAAAACAAACCTTAGATTGTTGACAGCAGAATTGAGGTTACCAGAGTGTTAGGGTTGGGAGAAATCGGGGCAGGGAGCCCAGTGGAATTGGGGTGGAGGATTATGGGTATATTGGTGGTGGGTGTGGTGTATATATGGAAAAGTAGGTACCTATATTCCCAATCATGCACTATGTTGTGGACCAATGTTACCTCAATTTAAAAAAAAATAGAATTGAAAACAAAAACAAAATTACCTTTACCACAGAGATGAGTTGGACATAAAAAAGAATTATATTTAAAAGAAGTTTGTTTTGTTAGTGTTCCTTCTAGATGAAACTGTGGCATGTGAAGAGTTTTCAGTGATACCTTAATGACTGCAAGTAACCTAAACTCTATGCAAAATGCAAATAGGCAATACTTGATTCGGATGCTTTTCTCTTCTGCAGCACTATTCAACTTCTGGAGTGCCTTCTGGTCTCCTTCTGGGATGCCAGTATTTTCATGTCACCCAGTGCAGTACTGACATTTCCCAAAGACCCCATGATCCAAAATGATCTGTCCACACAGTTTTACTTTCAACCAAAACTTCTGTCCCCACAAGTCTCTATAAGTACATAGACATTTAATCCTCAGAAACAAACAGAAAGCTCAGTCTACAAATATGCTATATATTCTATTCTCCTCCACCAGTGCCCACTACAAAAAGCAAAAAACAACTAATAAAAATCAAGCTGGGCCTCTCTGGTGGCCGAAGGGGTTACGTCTCAGCACTATGAAGCTATCAAAGCCACTGTAGTATGAGTTCGATCTCCTCCCAGGGAGCTAACCCACATGGTGCAGCAGACCTCTCCTATCTCATCCGCTGCTCCCCTCAGCAGTGTATTTCAGTAGATCTGACTGTTCAGCACGCTCCCCACTCTGTCTCTGGTGAATCCTCTCACCACCCCCTCCCCGCCTCCTTTGCACTTCTACACACCCCAGCTCTTGTATGCATAAATAAAATAAATCTTAAAAAAAAATCAAAACAAAAATATCCCACAAAATCAAAACAACCTTCTCAGGACCCACTTTTATCCTCCAGTACCACTATTTTTTTTACCTTCCTGCTAAAGCAAAATTTGAAGAAGCAGTGCACAGAGAAGATTCAAAACACTCTCTTCCCATAATTTATTGACAGTACCACTCTAGCCAGGCTCGTACCCTCTACACAACTGAAACCACTCCTACCAAGGTCAAAAACATTTTTCAGATTATTACTTTAAAGTCACCTCTTTGGCTGGAGCTTAGGACACAGATGATCATGGCCTCCTCCTAAAATCACGTTCCGCACCTGCTTTCCAAGAAAACACACTCATGAAATTACCTTTAATTCTCTCAGCCCGCCATTATGTTTCCTTTTGCTTATTCTTCCTCATCATTATAAATGTAAAAAAGAACATATAAATTTGTTTGGTAATCTCATTAGTGTCAAGCAAATAACTATATGTTCATAAATTCCAAATTTAAACCTCCAAACTCAGAGCTTCCTTCTGAACTCCAGGATCATATGGTCAAGTGCCTAACCTGTCAAAAAAAAAAAAAAAAAAAAAAAAAGCTCTGAAGCTCTTCTCTTGTTTTTCACATTCTAATGAATGGCAATCCTTCCTCCAGTTGCAAGGATCAAAAAATTTATAGTCACTCTTACTCTTTACCCCTCTTTATTTGTCTCTTCCCTTCCCCCCTGTTTCTCATTCATATCCCCCATTTATTGTATCAATAAATCTTAAAATATAACCAGATTTTGGCGACTTCTACCACCTCCACTGTCACCACTTTGGACCAGCTATGGATTACGGCAATAGCTTCATGTCTGGTCTTCTACTCCCACAGATGTGCTTTTCAATCTATTCTCAATAATGCAGCCGGAGTGATGCTGGGAAAACATAAGGTAGATCATGTCTCTCTGATGAGGACAGTGTAATACCTGCCCAGCTCACTGTGAGTGAAGCCC